TTGCTCCGGAGTTCAGAAAAGGCGCTCGTGTTTGAGCTACCTGGGAAAGTAAACAGGTAAACATTGGGTCGACTTGGAGGGCCACTTGTCCTGGAGTGGGGCCACTTAGCGTGTGTACATTCACCTCCCCTCATGGGCCTCCAGCGATTGTTCAGCTTCCCCGCCGCCCTCTCCAGCCGCCTGCGCTTCAGTCCCTCCGGAACCCAGAGCTGCAGAGGAGCTTAGCGGCCTGAGAAGCCTCCCAAAAGAGGTTTCCTCTAGACTCTGGGGAGAAAGATGCCCTTCCTCTTTTCCTCCACCTCCCTTCTGGGCCTGCAACTCCGTTTGGACCCATACTAAACGTGGGAAGAAGGAATATGGAGTTCGTGTTTTGTAGGGCACCTGGAACCCCGTCTTTGAGAATAAAGACCGGGGACGGGGAACCTCTAGCTGCTCCCAAAGACAGCCAGACTTATCTCAGGCCTAGAACATGCTGCGATCAGACTTCAGGCGTCTATCTCCACCTGCCCAAGTTTTCAGCAGCACAAGGCCGGTGGCAGAACGCTCACGAGCTACCCCCCCCCTCCCGCCGCTGCCTGCAGAACTTAAAGCCCCAACCCAAACAAGATGGAACCAGGACACTGTCTTCTCCTGCTGCTAGATGGAACCTGGAGAGAATTTACTAGAGTCCTGAGCGGAGGGAGATTAGAGCACATCCAGGCAGATTTGAAACTGGTGGAAGGCGACACTGTTTAGAACGGACAGGGTGGGGATGGTGGCGGAGACATCAATAAAGAATTCTAGAGATGGGGCAGGGCACAGAGTTGGGTCTACAGCTTTCAGGATGCGCGGAATCTCGCCAAACTGGAGATCTCAGCTGGAAAAGACTGGGCTGTGGTGCTCCCAGAGAGACCTCTTGAGGAGTCCTCGGAATGCAATCACCTGTTTAATATTTGTGTGGAAAGGTGTGTTTGGTTGTAGTCCCCCGGCTCTTCCCGGCCGCATGAAATCGGGAAGAACTTGGAGCATGCTTTGGCAGAGGACTTGCCACTGGCCGCCAGCTGGTCCCACGCCGGCCTCCCAGCATCCGCAGGCCACTCCTGGGGGACTTGCATTTTATGATCTTCCTCTAACAAGCAGAGTTTCTCCCCTTCAATTATGAGCCTCCCAGCGGTCTCCCTGCGCCTTTTCAATTGCAAATGTCAGCGCTTTGGAAGCGGTCGCGGGAACCACACGGGCAGCGAAGCGATGGGGAAAATGGACTGGTGAGGTCTCAGGAGAGAGACCCTGAGCGCAGTGGACCCCGCTCCACTGGGTGCAGAGCGCGGTGACTGGAGGCCAGGTGGAGGCTCTTGAGACCAAGAGAAGGAAGGAAAAAATGCAACCCCAAGTCCAGGAGATGGCTGAGGGAGCTGATACCCAGGCGTTGGCCTGTGCTGACAGGCAAAGTGTGGCCGCACAAGTGCTCCTGGAAGGGGACACTGTGACCTGAGGTGTTGGAAGGTCTCTGGCTAGTGGGGACCAAAGGACAGGCACAGTGGGGAATGGAGCTGGTAATGAACTGGGGGCCTCCTTCTACAGGCGCCATAGTCAGCTCTCCCTCTCCTCGATGAATTCCCAGAAGTCTGGAAATTCTGTCTTTCCTACAGACAACTGTAGGAAAATTTGTCTCTCAGGTGCTATGCCCACTGAGGAGGCTCCCAGGGAGAGGGGAGGGGCCCAAATCAGCAAGGCAGGCTGATTAGATCTGGAGAGAAAGGCCCTGTACGTTGGGAAAGGGAGGGGAGACCTTGTGCATGGAGCTAGGTGGTTCCAAGGTAAGGAAAAGAACAAACTCTGAGAAGGCATCTGGAGGTGATTCCTTCCCCCATCAAAGATGGGTCTGAGGTTATGCAAAAAGGGACACATCTTGCCAAAAGACAATTTTTCATCCAACCCAAGAACTGATCTGTCCCAACCAGACTCCTTTCTGGCCCTTCCCCACCCCTGGAGCCTGGTCCCCCAGATTCCGCCCCCGCTTGGGGGAGAGGAATAAGAGGAGGGACCACAGGAGGGACTTTTCTGCAAGGCTTGGGTTGAGGAACTTTTTCTCGCCAATTATTTATTTTGCAGTGGACTAACAATGGCTGGGGAAGGCCCAGCCTGTCCTTGTTTCCAAACTCTACCCCCGCCCCACATACACTCCTGGAGAACCAACGTCCCTCCTCGGACAGGACAGGGCAGGGAGCTCCCACGTGAAAGGAGGAAGGGGGAGGCAATGGGGAGAGAGGCTGAGAAAGACAGACTGGAGAGAGAAGAAAAAAGCACGGAAAGTAATGAGTTCGAGGAACACGATTCAAACCAGTTTCTAATTCTTGCAGGGAAAAAAAGAGGAAGGAGGGGGAGAAAGGAAAAAAGAAAAAGTAGGAGGAGAAAGAGAGGAATGGGGAGCTTCGACATGAAGGGGTTTCCTTAATATTGTGGACGGATTCAGAAATGAATGAAGAGATAGTCCATTGAAAAGGGTTGAACGCCATGACAACTAGGAACAGCCTTAGATTTATTCCAAACAGTTAGGACACGTTGAAAGAGAGCGTCAATCATGTATTATTTCGCCACTGAAATAAATGCAAAAACCGAGCCGGGACAAAGGCTTCCAACGGGAGCGGGACATTTGTCTACATTTCGCTCATTGTCCGCAGCTTAGCAATCGGTTTGTATTTGTGTTTGCCCGGGTCCGACCACCCAGGACGCGCCGACGAGGGGCTCGCTCTAACCTGGGCCATTGTCACCCACGTCACATACTGGGGGCGAGGCAGCCAGGGCTGCAGAAAGCCGCCGAGCGGCTCGGGGAGAGGCGCCCTCACCGGGCGCTGGCAACCCGGGGGTGGCAGGGGCGCGGCGGCGGCCGCAGCTGCGCGCGGAGAGAACCGAGCGCCCGCGCGCTTCGTTGCCGGCGCTGGGGCGGCCGCGGCTAAGACCAGAGGGGAGGGCGAGACCCGGACCCTCGCGTGCGGCCTTTTCTGCTCCTCCCCGCCACCACCCCCCACCCCACCCCACCCCCGGCAAAGCACCTTCCTGACGCTTTTCTGGGACTGACGGGAGCATCAGGTAGCAAACCTTCCCCTCACCCACTACCCCCCCCCAAAAAAAAAAAAAAAGAGAGAAAGAAAAGAAAAGGAAGGAAGGGAGGGAGGGAGGGAGGGAGGAAAAACTGGAAAGAAGGGCAGAAGTACAGCTTGGACTTCTCCCCAGCGCCTAGGAGAAGGTGCTGTCCCAGGAAAGTTCAGTTCCCAGGCTGGCGAGAGGTTGGGAACCTCACACGATCCTAATGCAAGCTGGGAGCCTGGAGCAAGAGCTCCGATCGCGCCCCTGGGGCAATCAAAAGGAGATGAAATTTAAGGATTTGCTTTGGAGAGGAAAACTCCAAGGAAAACAGCACCATCCGCCTGGCATGCGACCCCCCTCCCCTGCGGTTTTCGGGGTCCTCACCCGGGCTGGATTCAGCTCCCCTGACCCCCACCCCACCCCTCCCCTCTTCCTTCCCGCCGCCCCTCCGCTGCTAGGAGGCCGAAGAGGGAGGGGGGCTGGAGAGTGAGGCATAATAAGGGGCAGGAAGGGCGCCGGGCCGTCTGTCCTTTCCTCCACCCAAAGAACTCGGCTCGCGGAGCCCAGAAGCTACGGGGCCGTGGACCGAACCCGGCCCAAGTTCGAGTCCCCCCCCCACCCCTCCCCTTCCACTTCCCTTCCCTTCCCGGGCTGCCCGCAAAGCAGCAAGTGAACTGCGCTGTGCTCCCCGGCCGCTTAGAAATGGAAGGGGGTTGGGGAGAGAGAGAGGCGGAGTGAAGGAAATAAATAAGTCTTTAGCAAATAAAGAGTGGCTGGAGGGGGGTGGGGTCGTTTGGTGGTGGCTGGAGGGGGGTGGGGTCGTTTGGTGGTGGCTCCGGCCCGCCCGAGCCCATCCCTCTCCTGGGTTTCGGGCTCTTTCGGCGTTAACTAGAATCAATTACTTGCCTTGTCATTTCTAGTACTCATCCTTAAGCCTCAACCAAAATATTGACCTAGGAGGCTTACAGAAGTTGGGCTCTTGCCATTTGAACCGGATCTTGTTTAGGGAACCACCAGCGTTGAGGAGGAGAGATTTCCGCGGCTCAGCCTTCGCCCCCTCCCCCTTTTCCAAAGGCGCCACAAATCGCCAATTTTCCGGCTTGCTGGGGGCGGGAGCACGGGGGCGGGGAGGTAGGAACCGGTGAATGTTAAGGAGGATTTTGTTGTTGTTGTTGTTCCTCTAGGTTTCTGTTTTGTTTTCTCTCCTCCTTCCCCGCTTTTTTAAAGATGCAATTTGTTAAAACGGCCTTTTCAAGTGTGTGGACTCTCGAGCGACGCGGTGGTCCTTTGTATGTAAATACTGGGTAAAAAAGGCTCGCCCCGTCTTTGCAATTAATTGACACGTTACACCTCTCATCTTGCTCTAGAGGGCCGTTGGCTGGGAGCGCGGAGCTCCCCAAAACCCACAATTTCACATCTGCAAATACTGTCTTCATCCACTTGACTTCCAAGACCCGCCCACACGTGTCCAACCTTTGCGTTTTAATGTCTCCCCCCCTTTTTTTTTCCACCCTTCTCTCGCTCCCTCTCTCGCTCCCCCTCCCTCCCTCTCTGTTTCCCTCCCTCTTTTTCTCCCCCTCTTCTCCCCCCCTCTCCCCAGGTTCGTGAGTGGAGCCCAGCCTTATATGGACTGATCGCTCGGGCAATGGCCCATTTTTTCCTCGCCACCAGCCGCCACCGCGCGCCGAGCGGCCGCCGGAGCCCGAGCTGACGCCTCCTTGGCACCCCTCCTGGAGTTACAAACTAGGGCCCGGCCCGCAGCGCTCGGCGCTCAGGCTGCCTATTCCCTGCGTCCATTTCCGCGTGGTTTCAGAGAAGACACAGGAGCTGCGTTTGGGCTTCCCCCCCTCCCCTTCCTTATAGTTTCTTTCTCTTTTTTAAAATAATAATTATCTCAATTATTAAAGCCCACCCCCTCCTCCCCTCCCCCTTTCCCTCCCCCATACCCCCTCCCCGCCCCAACTGGGGAGCTCCACGAATTGACCAAGTGAAGCTACAACTTTGCGGCATAAATTGCGGGGTCCCGAGCCATGTCGCTGACCAACACAAAGACGGGGTTTTCGGTCAAGGACATCTTGGACCTGCCGGACACCAACGATGAGGAGGGTTCGGTGGCCGAAGGGCCGGAGGAGGAGAGCGAGGGGCCAGAGCCCGCCAAGAGGGCCGGGCCGCTAGGGCAGGGCACCCTGGACACCGTGCAGAGCCTGCCCCTGAAGAACCCCTTCTACGACAGCAGCGACAACCCCTATACGCGCTGGCTGGCCAGCACCGAGGGCCTCCAGTACTCCCGTAAGTAGCGAAACTTGGCCGCTGTGGCCGTGGCGCCTCTCATTCTGTGGCCGCAGCCCGGGCTGGAAGCTGGGGGAGAAAGGGAAAGGAGCCATTTAAACTCGATCCCTTGCCTGCTCCTCTAGAAAAATGTTTAACACTTGTTAATAATGCCCTAACTCTTTCCTCCTTTTCAACCCCCCCCCCCCCCAGTACCGGAAAAAGACTTGGTCTAAGATATTTTTTCAAAGCAAGAAATTAGGAAAACGAGGGGGAGGGGAATACCTCCCAAGGGCTGCTTACAGATGTCAACCCAGGACTGATGGCTCCGGTCGGAAGCCCCCCTCACCCCGACAGCCGGGAGGGACTGGCCTGGAGCACTGGAGCGAACTAGCAAGCCTCGGGGTACGGGTAGAAGGTGGGGGAGGCTCCTGGTAGCTCGGGTATAAATAGCTCACCCTGCCCCCTGCACGATCATAGAGGACGCTTTGTGCAGTGCGGAGGGTGTCGAGAAAGTCCGAAAGCAAAAACGAAAGCCCCCAAAAACCTGCCTTAAATGGCCGAGCCGATCAATGCCGGGATTGTGGGGTTTTTCTTTTAAAAATCTGCCCACGTCCCTCCAGAGAGGAAACTGCTTAAGGGGGCAGGAGCCCTTAACCCGCGATGATCTTCTCTGCGCTCCACTACCCCCAAATACGCACCCACACTGTGCGAACCCCTAGAAACGCGAACCTGGAGCCCCCATTCCTGTCGCTTCTCCTTTTTCCGCTGGGGGAAACCAACGGTTTTGTTGCGCATGGAGCAGGGCGGGGGTCAAGGCGAAGGCAGTGGGGCCGGGCTGCCCGGAGGGCGCACGGAGTATCCGGGGCGCGCAGGGTCTGGCTCCGCCGGCGCGCGGCCTCCAGGCGCCTGACGCGCTTCTCTCTCCCCCAGTGCACGGGCTGGCGGCCGGCGCGGCGCCCCAAGATTCAAGCTCCAAGTCCCCGGAGCCTTCGGCCGACGAGTCACCGGACAATGACAAGGAGACCCCGGGCGGCGGGGGGGACGCGGGCAAGAAGCGGAAGCGGCGGGTGCTCTTCTCCAAGGCGCAGACCTATGAGCTGGAGCGGCGCTTCCGGCAGCAGCGGTACCTGTCAGCGCCCGAGCGGGAGCACCTAGCCAGCCTCATACGCCTCACGCCCACGCAGGTCAAGATCTGGTTCCAGAACCACCGCTACAAGATGAAGCGTGCCCGGGCCGAGAAAGGTATGGAGGTGACGCCCCTACCCTCGCCGCGCCGGGTAGCCGTGCCCGTTTTGGTCAGGGACGGCAAACCGTGCCACGCGCTCAAAGCCCAGGACCTGGCAGCCGCCACTTTCCAGGCGGGCATCCCCTTTTCGGCCTACAGCGCGCAGTCTCTGCAGCACATGCAGTACAACGCCCAGTACAGCTCGGCCAGCACCCCCCAGTACCCGACAGCACACCCCCTGGTCCAGGCCCAGCAGTGGACTTGGTGAACGCCGCCCCTCTGAGACTCGCGGCCCTAGGCCCAGGCCCCACCCCGGCGGCGGCGGCAGCGAGGAGGACTCGGTCCTTACGGTGGCTATTATTATTATTATTATAATTATTACTGTGGAGTCGAGTTGACTCTTGGCTCCACTGTGGAGGCGCCGGGAGGTTGCCTGCGTCTCCTTGGAGTGGCAGATTCCATCCACCCATCTCTGCCCCATCCATCCCTCTCTCCTTTTGAACCTTTGGAGAGGGCTGAACTATAAGCCGTGTTTACAGAATGTTTGCGCAGCTTTGCTTCTTTGCCTCTCCCCGGGGGGACCAAATCGTCCCCGTTAACGTCCTCACTTGAGAACGAGAAAAAGACCAACACACCCTCCCCCCGCCCCGCTTTTGTGAATTTTGTAAAATATGTTTGTGTGAGTAGCGATATTGTCAGCCGTCTTCTTCTAAAGCAAGTGGAGAACACTTTAAAAATATAAAGAAATTTTCTCCTTTTTTTTTTTATAAGAAAATGCTAAATATTTATGGCCCTGTAAACGTTCTGACAACTGGTGGCAGATTTCGCTTTCGTTGTAAATATCGGTGGTGATTGTTGCCAAAATGATCTTGAGTCTGGGGGGCCTGTTCTCCCTCCGGGCCCAATACCTTTCTTTGTGGGGTTTTTTGTTTGTTTGTTTGTTTGCTTGCTTATGTTTGGTTACCCCCTGCTTTCTTTTCCTTTTATATTTTGTTCAGTGCAAACATTTCTCAAATATGAAAAAGGAAAAAGTGTGTAGGCGAGAAGCCTCCTGCCCCACCTCCGGGTCCTGAGCCCTGGAACTTGGAGCTCAGCGGTTCCTTGCGGTTCCCCTAGAGCGCCGGGCGCTGAAAGCTTTCAATTTTTTTAAATACGAATTTTAATAAAAATCCTGTGTTTAAAAAAACCAAGCCCGACGCTCCCGTTTGTCTTACTTTGTCGCCCTGCGCCGGGCCTGAGGCCTGGGGCAAGGACCCCGGCCTGGCCGCTAGCAGCGATCTCACTCGTTCTTCCCTTCGGGGTCTGGAACCAGGGGCACCGGGGGCACTGGAGAGGCTCTCCAAACAGGCCTAGCTCGGGCGAGCCAGCCATGCTCTGTGCCTTGGATTCCCGGCCGGGGCAGGAGCGGTTGGCCTCGGGCCTACGAGCTGTCCACCCGAAGCCCGAGGTCGCCCGCCCTCTCCCGGGCCTCTCCCTAGGCCTCGAGCACTGTGTGGCAGCGTTCTGGCTTCGGGGGGAAAAGTGACTTTGGAAAATGCCAAGGCGAAGGGAGCAAACCCCCCTTGCTCGCCCGAATCTGTGAGTGGCTCCTTCAGCCTGAGAAGCTGTTGAAGCCACTACAGTCGATGACTTTCACTTTGTTGCATTTGATTTACCTCGCTTGGAGAAGGGGGGTGAGGAGGCTGAGGTTGAGACTGGTCGACTTTCTCTCTACTCCCCACCCCCTTTGCAAAACCCGCCGTCTAGAGGCGGCCTAGGAGACCGCTCTGAGACCAGGGGCAAAACAGAGGGAGAGGCGAGTTTCGGGGTGCTCGAAGCTTTGACAATGGTGTGACTCGTGGGGACCGGGGCTCAGGGGATGGAGGGGGACTGCTGCAGCTTTCTCTAGGCTCTTTGGTCCCGGAGAGCTGGCGGGCAGGAGTCAGTGACAACCCCTACAAACAGAAACTTCCCTCCTTCCTTCCACCCCCCACCCCGTCCTTTCTGGGTTCCCATCCCCAAAACCCCAGGCTGGATCCCATGCCTCCACCCCTCCTAGGATCTGGTGGCGCGCGGCTCTCCAGGCCAGCTCTTCAGCTTGAAACTGAGCGAACTGCTTGCTTGAAAGTAGGGGTTTGGAGGTGGGGTCGTGTGCCCCCGCCTGAAGGGCTGTGGTGAGGGGATCAGGAGGCGCACAAACAGCCCCCGGTTCGCCCCGGGGGAGGGCGTATGGGCCGGTCCCTAATAGAGAACTGATTCTATCCCACCCTCGTTGCACAGAGATCTCCTTGGCCGATGCTGGCGCACACTTGCCCATGCGGGGGAGCGTCTCAAGGGGCCACGCTTGCGGGGAGGGGGGCACTTCTCTCCTCTATCTCGAGGATTTCTGAAAATACCCAAGTCCCTGTAGCTCAGAGCCCAGCGGGTGAGGAGATGCCTCGGGATTGCAAGTCGGCCCCATTTGGAAATTGTATCACCGTTTTCTCTTGAGCTCCACCTTCATAGCTGGGGAGGGGAGGAGAGGGTGGCGAGAAGGCCGAGCAAAGGCAGCGGTCCCAGCTGACTTTCTCGCTCCCTCTAGTTGATGATCAGATTTAATTCAATATCTAAAGTAAACATGATTATCCGTGTGACCAAATCTGCGCGTCAATAGCACTCAGCTCAACACGCCCAGGGACGTGATTACACGTTATTTCTGCGTTGCGCACCCGCCCCTGGATAATTGAGGGCGCTGAAGTCTTTCTAATATCTTACTAAATGTCCTTCCCCATCTCCAGGTTCATGCGGGTTCACCCAGGTTTTCTAAATACTGAGAAGTCTCCCTTTGTTCCCTACACTAGCCTGGAAACGTTTGGGTTTTAGTTCTTGCTGCTTATAAAAGCCCAGAGAATTCTCCCTGAATCATTTATTGTACAATAGTCGGACGCCCAACTTGCCCTGACACCAACCACTGAAGATGCCACTGGTAACTTCCCTGTAACTCCCCAGTGCATGGGGAAGGGATGTAAGACTTCCGAGCCTCTTGGAGAGGGTTTGTCAGGAGGCCTGAGGCAGGGCCCCAAGACTCCAGTTGATTTTGACTGTCCCAGGCCTAGTGCTTCCGGGGGCCAAGAACGATCATAGGAGCCCTTCCCCCACCCCCAAGCCTCCAGGAAGGAAGGAGGCAAAGTGGAGGGTCCAAATTCTGGAAGGCTTTCACTATGCGTGCGCTGAGGGCTGAGTGCGCATTGAGGGTGCATTTTGGGCGGTATCCAGGCCTGCAGGCCTGCAGTCTGGCTGTGCGCCCCTGAGGCTGGGAGCTGGGGAGGTGGGTCCGGCGCCCGCCTCTCTCTGTCCCCGGGTCCCTATGGAGTCAATAAAAGCGCCCGCGGAACCCTGTGTGGCCCTAACCCCAGCGCCCTGGGAGCGCACCCGGCGCGGGGTCCGCTTCGGCAGTCTATCTTCGCCCAATCTACAGAGGGCCGCACAAAACGGCACAATGGGAGAGCTGGGAGCCGGGGATGTTAGAGGCGTGCATATTAAAAAGAGACAGAGAAAGAATCGCAGGGGACAGAGAGAGGGGAAGAGGGAGAAGGGGCCCACCCTCCCTCCCCCTCCACCCCGCACCATTCAGCGCGCTTATCTCGGGCAGTGAATCCCGGAGTCAGGCAGAAGTCTCCTTGGGGTTTTGTTGGGCCTGTCACTGGGTCCCTTTGTCATCCCCGGGCTCCATGCTGGATTCCATATGGCCAGCTGGGCCGAGGGAGCGCGAGGAGGGACCCGCACAAAACCCAAATTGTGTCCGGCTTTCAAACCCTGTATTGTTGTCTGTGAAAGGAAGACGCATTAAAAATTCGTGCTATATCTATTGGGGAGGAGGCTGGAGGAGGGGAAAAAAGCCATCCCTGTCTTTGATGGCTTCAGAGGGCGCTTGCCCCGCCTAGGCCCCGTGACACACTGAGAGCTGGATACCTCTCTCGCTTGCTTTCTCGCTCGCTCTCTCGCTGCCCCCCCCCCCGCCCCGCCCCAGTCTGTCTCTGTCCTCTGTCTCTGTCTCCTCTACAAAATATTGGCTCTAACGCTCAGCCTCTAGTATATGAACTGTCCGCCTTCAGGGTTTGGGCTCCTTGCGCACACTTTGAGAACTAAGCTTCGCATGTCCGGGGGCCTCCCGTGGAAGCCACCGGATTGCCCTGGGCTCAGGAGGAGACCCAGGTGCCCAGGGCCCGGGGATGCTGGGGTCTCGCGGACTTCGAGGCCTCAGAGTAAATGAAAATCCAATCCCCATGCGACCGCCTAGTCACGACGCCCAGGCGCGCAAGCCAGCCTTCCGCGCACTGCAAGGAAGACTCGGAGAGCCGGAGGGGCCGCTCAATCTTGGCCCAGCTCAGTTTCAGCTGCAACCGGTTCTGAAGCCACTTGTGCCCAGCCGGCCTCCTCTGTTACGGACCCCCGGTCATTCGAATTACGATGTGCGGGGATCCCACTGGCATCTGAATGCGATGGGAAACCGGTTCAGAGACTTCTTCCCCGCCGCCCTTCCTGGTGGTAAGAGAGGAACTAGCGCTTTAATTCTCAGCGTCTCCTGCATCATTTTGGTCAGCAAAATTCAGTAACAGGGACACAGAGGAGAGCTTCCAAATAATTTGTCCGGTTTTGCCTCACCTAAGCAGTCTGAGTTTTTGAAGGGCCATCGGAGATCATTCAGGTCAGGCACCTCCCCCAACAGTCTGGGCAGAAACTCCCATAAGCACCCCCTAAACAAACAAACAAACAAATATATGCTGCAGCGAAGAGTTCGTGCTGTGGAAGTAAATAGGAGGAACGCACGTCGCCCTGGGGCAAAGTCTTTCAGCCCTTAATGAGCGAAACTAAGATGGTAGAAATTCCAGCTAATCCAAAATTCGGGGGTCTCACTTTCCCGTTTACTACTCCTGTCATATTTAGTAGAATCTGATAATTTGGTAAGAGGAGGAATCCTCTCGTCAACGTTCCCCACACCAGCCAGGGAAGAACTTATTTTCCTTACCTATTGACCGTTAGGCTTAGTTGAGACCTGGTGTGGATTTCTCGAGCCTTTTCAAGAGCCTGGTCATTGAAAAGCTAATCCAATATTTACCGAGCATAAGGACAGTTCTCAGACGTATTTATTAAGGCCCATCACTAAGTGATTACTTGGACTGAGGACGATGGCTAGGAGAGGGCAAGTCCAGAAGCACCAGATCCTGTCCGGGTGGGGCCTCCCCACCCATAACTAGGAAACCAGGAGCAAACTTGTAAGATGCTGAGCTTCCCCTCCCATGCTTAAGTGGTGTGTGGATTAGATATTGTGTTGGCCGGTATTTCAGGAAATATGTACTTGTGGCTTCCTGAGAGGCCAGGCGCAATGACACTCTAAACTGTGTCGATATATCATCTTTTATCCAGGATCTGCAAATAAACCCCTGATCCCCCCCAGCGCATTATAGCTGCCGCTATCTCTCCAAGGAAGCGATCTGAGTTTTATTGCTTTCACCAACGCCCCAACTCTCTCTCTGTCTGTCTCTCTCTCTCTCTCTCACACACACACACACACCCTCCCCTATTCCACGCAGTCTGGTTTTTAAAGGCTCTAATATTTTTTCCCCCGGGGCATCGTTATTAACAGAGGCGATATGGGCCTCGGCGCCGCCACCCGAGCAAGTGGGGAAATGCAGGCCCGCGGGCCACCTGCCCGCGCGCGGAACTCGAGTCCTGCAGACGCACCGCCGGGGACGCGAGATCCTGGCGTGGCCGCGCGCCGCCGCCGCCACCAGGAGGCGCCCGAGCTCTGCACTCGGGCCACCGCGCTGCGAGCCCGCGGTGGTCCCAGGAAGTGCCCCAGGCACGCCGGCCTCCCAGTCCCGGGCTGTATTTCCACCCAAGCACGGCCGCAGCCGGGAGAGAAGGCCGAGGAGGAGTCGGCGTCTCCGAACCCGGATTAG